TGACAGTTTTCAGCGAAATGAAACCCATTCGTTAGGCTCAGCAAGCGGCAAATAGCTCTACTACTTCAGCCAATGATGTACCGCCACCGGTCTTCCGAAGGATTCACTCCAGGAAAGACTTGGATCATCTACTTAACTCCGCTCAGGACGCGACAACTCGGCGTCAACAGGTAGGTACCATTTTACATATTACAACTCCTAGGTTGCACACCTCTCCGGCGTATATGGTGGCAGTCTGTCCCTGTCCGCCGATAGGGTTTTCAAATCCCGATTTGCCGATGAGGTGACAGATTGGCTAAGTTTTCACGGGCGCTTGGTCCACCAAACGTCTTTTGAGAACTCTGAACTATATGCAATTGTCCCCGGTACGAACATATCATTTCTGCTGTGAACATCTTCAACGCAGAGGTACTCGAACAGAGATGCCGAAGGCCTTCAAACTTGCCTTAAAACGTGCCCACGATCGGCGTCAGTTGAACAGTGGGCGGTGTCGATAGTCTACAAGCCGAATAGGTGAGTCAACTTATACACTTAACCTTGTCACTCTCTGTTATGTTACGTTTCCCTGCGTCTAAATTTCCTAATTTCCTACTTTCAGACGTACGACTCAACAATGACGACGATGATGCGCCAGGGCCTTACGGGCTACCAGCTTCAATGAAATCCACAGTGTTGCGTTCGGGTAGCCAATAATTCTGAAAAAGCGCCCAAAGAAAGCTGTTTATCTTTATTTTTTGTACCATACTATTTTTGAGCCCCCTATTTATATCAATAAACATATTCCTAAACAAACAGTCTTCAAAAAAGTAATATTTTTCTGCGTTTCGAAAAAATGCAGGGTTTTCGCAGGAAAGGAGGTAACCCCTGTCCGGATGAAAAAATGAAATTCGAGTTTTCGAGCTTCAAGCGCGAAAATGCAAGCTGGCTTGTAGTTCATTTATTCGAGTTCGTTTCGAGCTCGAACAGGCGGCCAAATCGAGCTCGATTCGAGCTCGATTTTTCGAGGTAGCGAGCTCGATTCGAGCTCGCTTTGCTATTAGGGTCCCACACTCAATTCGTCCAATACGACAAGCAAAAATCCATGGTCCCACCTAACAGCAGCGGAGTTCTTCGAGCGTCTATCTTATGTCTTCCTCTACTTTACAATAAGCTGGATCATACTGCGATGGCCAGAACGCGATGCGGGAGACCAGCACTCCAATACTATGATTCTTGGCAAGTTTACCCGACTTGAAATCTCTACCGTTGAAAAAACCTCTTGTTGGTTGTAATGAGGGGAATTCAGACACAGGGAAGAGTCGTTCATGATAACATGTAGATCACAATACGAAACACAGGGGATTAAATCGATCTTCAAATGCATCTACTCGCAGGCGGTCTCTCCGGATGACTAAAACTCAGTTGATTGTTCTCCGAAAAATACAGGAGGGGGCTGCACTTTGTCTAGAAATCTGAAGCAAGTTCCGGGTGAGCAGTTGACAGGCTCTGACCTACGCAAAATGCATTTTATTTGTTCGAGCCATCGAAAAAGAGACAACCTCTCGACCATTTCGTCGCTGTGTGGTGGGAATTCGGATCAGGCTGTCCTTTGCCTTTTCAGTTGTCTCTCAAATATGTTGCTGGAGATTGAAACTTCTGCGGCAAAATTGCAGGTTCAAATGCGATAACATAAACTGTCAATTTCGAGGTTGCGTACAGAGTCCCAAACTGCCACACATAATGGAGAAACTAGCAACACCTTTGACATACAAGAACCAGGCAAGGACACTTCAAAAGAAAAATAGCGCAAAACTGAGGTCTGCGATTCAGAAAACAATTATAGCAGCGCGTTGTTAGAGCTTCCTGTGGCTTATAATGTTCAGCGTAATTACAATAATAAAGGCCGGCACAAGATAATCGCAATGATCTCAAGAAATCCCAAGAAACATGGTAACGCGATGAACAGAACCAGTTACCGTAATCTTACTTTTTACTGGTCTAAACTTTCGGGTTCCTTCTAGAGTACTTCGACAGATAAAAAAGGCGTACACTCTGATGCCTCAGTTCGTTTAGCCTCCCACTTCCTGGCAGACCTCCATGGCCGAAGGATTCAATCCGACGAAATGATGGTTTTCTTTGACGTGACATCATTATTCACATCTATTCCACCGGATTTGGCACGGAAACTTGACGAGCCGTACGACGAAACCCAGCGTTAGCTCAAAATTGAACACCTCATGAGACTGTTCGAATTCTGCCAAAAGGCATACTTTACCTTTGCAGGAGAGACATATGAGCAGATCAAAGGAACTCCAATGGGCTCTCCGATCTCAGGTTTAATAGCAGAATTGGTCCTACAAGGTCTGGAAAAGATTGCTTTCCGCTAACAGCCCCCGGTTTTTTTGCGTCGTTACATTGACGACACGTTTGTTATCGTCAAAAGGAACACGCTGCAGAATTTCCATGAACTTCTCAACTCCATTTTCCCAGACATACAATTCGCGAGGGAAGAAGAAAGGGATCAGCAGCTACCCTTCTTCGATGTACTCGTCATGCGAACTTTCGACGGCAAAATCGAAACAACGGTCTACAGGAAGATGACGAATACAACACAGCTTCTTAATTTCCAGAGCAACCATCCGGTGGCTCACAAAAGAAGCTGCGTAAAACACTTCTCAAGAGAATCCAGACGCATTGCAGTAATCCGGAAGTAAAGGCACCTGAGGACCGATATTTCCGCGA